GCTGCGTGAGTGTGCCTGCGCCCTGCCCTCTTCTCTGCGGCTGCCCCTCTTCCTTTCCTCTCTCCCTGCATGCGGGCAAATTCGCGATACGGTGTCCCGGTCTCGCCCCGACGCGCGTGCGGATCGCTTTTGCCGCGCCGCGACGTTAAAAAGTGTCCCTGCCTCTGCGGCCCGTCCTTTGCCGTCTTCGCTGGTCCTCCGCCGCCCAAAAAATCGCAGCTTCGGCCTCTGAGGGTCTTGCGTCCTTACCACCCGTCTTTGATGCACGTTTTGATTGTAGCCGCGGAAGCGGCGGCCACGATCGCGGCAGTGCTCGCGCGGCAGCCTCGCGAGGAGGAGAGATTCGAGGACGGAGGAGGGCGGATCCGGGAAGCGCAGGATTGAAGTTCGATGGGGGAGGATCCATGGTGTTATGCGTTCGGGGCGTCTCTTTGGCCCCTGGGAATCTCCGGGGAAGGGGGAGGGGAGGGATGAGGAACAAGGAGGACAAGGAGGAGAGGTAGAGAGAGAAGGAGAGAGAGAGAGAGAGGGGGGAGGATTGGAGGCAGGGACGGAGGCGGAAGAAGGAGGACAGGAGGCTACTGGGACGGATGAGGATGAGGAAGCAGCCGCCCTCGTCCTCCTCACCTTCGACACTGCCCCCAAGCCAGGGGGGTAGGATGAGGAGGCAAGTCGCCCTCCTCCTCCTCCTCCTCATCTTCCTCCTCCGCTTCTCCTCCGCAGTCATTCCCCGGCTTTTCCTCTTCATGCCCCTACTCCTAATTCCCTACCCAGGCTCTGCCTAGAGGGTTCTTACTCGCTGGGCTTAAAGGGGCCGGGCAGTGGGCCCCGCCCAGGGCGGTTCCCCCGGTCCCCTGGGAGCGGTTCCCCCAGTCCCCTGGGAGTTTTAGCTTTAGCTTTAGCTTTAGCTCTAGCTTTAGCTTAGCTTTAGCTTAGCTTTAGCTTAGCGTTAGCTTAGCTTTAGCTTAAATGTCGCTTAGCTTCAGCTTAGCTTTAGCTTAGCTTAGACTAGCGTTAGCTTAGCGTTAGCTTAGCTTTAGCTTAGCTTTAGCTTAGCTTGGCCTTAGTTGTTGCTTAGCGTTAGCTTAGCTTTAGCTTAGTGTTAGCTTAGTTCTAGCTTAGCTGTAGCTTAGCTTCAGCTAAGCTGTAGCTTGGCTTTAGCTTAGCTTCAGCTTAGCTTCAGCTTAGTGTTAGCTTAGATTTAGCTTAGCTTTCGCTTAGCTTTAGCTTAGCTTTAGCTTAGATGTAGCTTAGCTTCAGCTTAGCGTTAGCTTAGATTTAGCTCAGCTGTATCTCAGCTTGAGCTCAGCTTGAGCTTAGCTTCAGCTTAGCGTTAGCTTATCTTCAGCTTAGCGTTAGCTTAGTTTTAGCTTAGATTTAGCTTAACTTCAGGTTAGTATGAGCTCAGATTTAGCTTAGCTTTAGCTTAGCTTTAGCTTAGCTTTAGCTTAGCTTTAACTTAGCTTCAACTTAGCTTTAGCTTAGCTTCAGCTTAGCTGTAGCTTAGTTTCAGCTTAGCCTTAGCTTAGCGTTAGCGTAGCTTGACCTTAGCTTCAGCTTAGCTTTAGCTTAGCTTTAGCTTTAGCTTTAGCTTAGCTTTAGCTGACTTTCAACTTAGCTGTAGCTTAGCTTGACCTTAGCGTTAGCTTAGCTTTAGCTTAGTGTTAGCTTAGTTCTAGCTTAGCTTTAGCTGAGCTTCAGCTTAGCTTGATTTTAGCTTTAGATTCGCTTTAGCTGAGTTTCAGCTTAGCTTTAGCTTTGCTTTAGCTCAGCTTCAGCTTAGCTTTAGCTTAGTTTTAGCTTTCGCTTTAGTTTCAGCTGAGCTTTAGCTTAGCTTTACTGTTACTACTAATGCTGGTTTCCTAGGGGCTCCAACTCCTAGGTAGGGTCGCACTGGGATAATTTTCATCCTGTATCTTCATTATCCTCTTCGTCCTCTTCCTCGCCCGTCCCCTTCATCCTAGACCCAATAGGGTCGCTTGAAAGATCTAAGAGCCCTCTCCCCGATCCTCCTCTTAACCCAATCACTCCTTCTTCTCGGACTTCCGACGACCTGTCCTTTTGCTCGAGCCCAATGCCTCTGGAGTTCTCGGCTCCTTCCTCAGGACTGTCTGTTTATCCCGATTCGTTTCGTTGACCGTCCTGAGGGGCCCCGAAACGACCCCATGCGCCGAAAGTAGCAAAAAGGCGCATGCGGTGTGTCCGTGCCGCCAAAGGTCTCGGCATCCCTCGGACGTGTGCATTTTTTCTCGGCGAGGGCCATCGGGGAGCATCTTGGATTATCGTGCGAAAAATGATCGCACGAAACCGAAAAATGCACGCGGAATGGACGTCCGAGCGATGACGAGAGGCGTGGCCCTCTTCTGGGGGTCTCTGGAGGTCCCCAGATGCCTCTTTTGACGCTCCCGCATGGCCTCCAGAGGCCCGAAGAGGCCACACGCCGGTCGTTGAACGTACTTATTTCCCAACCATCCTGTGGTGTTGGGTCCTCGGTTTGAAGAGACGTCGCCCCGCGTTCCTTCCTCCTCCTTCCTCCTCCTCCCCCCTCCTCCCCCTCCCACACCCATTCTGGCACACCCCTCACACGCTTCGTGGCCCCATAGGGAGCTCCACCGAAGGCCCCAGTGGCTGCGCCCGCATGCGGTTCCACCCCCCATTCTGGCACACCCCTCACACGTTTCGTGGCCCCATAGGGAGCTCCACCGAAGGCCCCAGTGGCTGCGCCCGCATGCGGCACACCCCTCACACGTTTCGTGGCCCCATAGGGAGCTCCACCGAAGGCCCCAGTGGCTGCGCCCGCATGCGGTTCCACCCCCCATTCTGGCACACCCCTCACACGTTTCGTGGCCCCATAGGGAGCTCCACCGAAGGCCCCAGTGGCTGCGCCCGCATGCGGTTCCACCCCCCATTCTGGCACACCCCTCACACGTTTCGTGGCCCCATAGGGAGCTCCACCGAAGGCCCCAGTGGCTGCGCCCGCATGCGGTTCCACCCCCCATTCTGGCACACCCCTCACACGTTTCGTGGCCCCATAGGGAGCTCCACCGAAGGCCCCAGTGGCTGCGCCCGCATGCGGTTCCACCCCCCATTCTGGCACACCCCTCACACGTTTCGTGGCCCCATAGGGAGCTCCACCGAAGGCCCCAGTGGCTGCGCCCGCATGCGGTTCCACCCCCCATTCTGGCACACCCCTCACACGTTTCGTGGCCCCATAGGGAGCTCCACCGAAGGCCCCCCGGGAGCTCCACCGAAGGCCCCAGTGGCTGCGCCCGCATGCGGTCCACCCCCCATTCTGGCACACCCCTCACACGTTTCGTGGCCCCATAGGGAGCTCCACCGAAGGCCCCAGTGGCTGCGCCCGCATGCGGTTCCACCCCCCATTCTGGCACACCCCTCACACGTTTCGTGGCCCCATAGGGAGCTCCACCGAAGGCCCCAGTGGCTGCGCCCGCATGCGGTTCCACCCCCCATTCTGGCACACCCCTCACACGTTTCGTGGCCCCATAGGGAGCTCCACCGAAGGCCCCAGTGGCTGCGCCCGCATGCGGTTCCACCCCCCATTCTGGCACACCCCTCACACGTTTCGTGGCCCCATAGGGAGCTCCACCGAAGGCCCCAGTGGCTGCGCCCGCATGCGGTTCCCCCCCCATTCTGGCACACCCCTCACACGTTTCGTGGCCCCATAGGGAGCTCCACCGAAGGCCCCAGTGGCTGCGCCCGCATGCGGTTCCACCCCCCATTCTGGCACACCCCTCACACGCTTCGTGGCCCCATAGGGAGCTCCACCGAAGGCCCCAGTGGCTGCGCCCGCATGCGGTTCCACCCCCCATTTCGGCACACCCCTCACACGCTTCGTGGGTGGCTCCATGGGGAGCTCCACCGAAGGCCCCAGTGGCTGCGCTCGCATGTGGTTCCCCCCCCCATTTCGGCACACCCCTCACACGGTTCGTGGCCCCATAGAGAGCTCCACCGAAGGCCCCAGTGGCTGCGCTCGCATGCGGTTCCACCCCCCTTTTCGGCACGCCCTTCACACGTCTCGTGGCCCCATAGGGAGCTCCACCGAACGCCGCAGTGGCTGCGCTCGCATGCGGTTCCACCCCCCATTTCGGCACACCCCTCACACGTTTCGTGGCTCCATCGGGAGCTCCACCGAAGGCCCCAGTGGCTGCGCTGGCATGCGGTTCCACACCCCATTCTGGCACGCCCCTCGCACGTTTCGTGGCCCCATAGGGGGCTCCACCAAAGGTCACAGTGGCACTGCCCGCTTGCGTCCGCCGCCGCCCAGCACAGCCTTTGTTCCTTGCGCTTCACCCACCCAGAACAGCGCTTCGTAGCCCTATAGGGAGCTCCACCAAAGGTCCCAGCGGCACCGCCCGCATGCGTCCGCCACCACCCTGCACAGCCCTTGTTCCCTGCCTGCGTTTCACCCACCCAGTACAGCGCTCCGTGGCCCCATAGGGAGCTCCACCGAAGGTCCCAGTGGCACCGCTCGCATGCGTCCGCCACCACGCAGCACAGCCCTTGCTGACCGCGTCTCGCCCACCCAGTACAGCGTTTCGTGGCCCCAGAGGGAGCTCCACCGAAGGTCCCAGTGGCACCGCCCGCATGCGTCCGCCACCACTCAGCACAATTGCGGCATTCACAACTGCATATGGTTGGGTCCTTCGCCAGGCCAATTTTCTTCGGATGCCCCAGTCCTAATCTACTTCGGGCGCCTTCCTACTTCTAGAGTCGATCGGTTGTCCCTCTTCCCTCCTCTTCAGGGGGCGGGCGGAAGCCCAATCGATCTTCAACGCATTCCTAGTTCATGTTTCGTCCCGCCTCTTCCGGCCGACGGGTAAGCACATCCATGGAAACATGTACGTATCCATTATTCCTTCCTCCTCTCCCTCATCCCTCCCCATCCACCCTCCCTCTTCTTCCCATTATTCCACGGTCGTCCCCTCGTCCTCTTCTTCCTCATATTCGTCCTGCGGGGAGTTCCCGAGACGAGCGGCTAGGCTCGAACATCTTCGACGTGACCGTTGGCTTGCCGCTCCCGTGGATCATGTACTCCGCGATCAAGGGGGTATCAGGAGCCCGCGCCTCGCTGGGGTTGGGGAAGGTCTTATATATATATATATATATATATATATATATATATATATTATTTTGGGGGAGGAGGTTCGAGGATCGGAGGGGGAACCAATAATGTACGCGATGCATGGTATAACACGACATAGGAGGGCACGGCCACAGCCGACGTCGTCGCGTCGAGAACGCGAATTATGCCGACAACAAGGTTAGACGGAAATCAGATGTGGCACAGGTCGGGAAATGCAAACGGACATTTTGGACAGCGGGATCCCGAAATGAGATCACCGTTGCAGCGGTAGCACGATTCCGAAGGACCGAAACCGCGACAATGAGACCAGCGCTGCAGTGAGGGCACGATGTCGAAGGACTGGAAGCGCGGAGCCGAAGCTAACGCTGCAGCAGGAGCACGATTTGGAAGAAGAGCCGATACAATGAAATGAGGTGAGCGCTGCAGCGCGCACATGATTTGGAAGGAGGACTGATAACGGGAAAATGGAGCCAACGTTGAAGTAGGAGCGCCCGTCTGAAAGATTGAAAACGCCCGCATTGGAAACGCACATCTGGATTCTCAGTTCGGCGGCATCCTGTGTAACGAAAAAAGGCGGGTAGGGCCAGGACACCTCACCAGGGTTTTTGGGGAGAGAGGAGGGTATCATTCATATCGTGTAATTACTCTTGGAGGAGGGGGAAGAGGAGTGTCTCCTTTGGCGGGGGGGAAGGTTCGAAGATCCAAGGGGCGGAGGACGGATGGGGAGGGAGATCGACGATCGAGGTCTCGGGGCCGACGATCGAGGTCTCGGGTCGTCTCTGGCCCTCCTTGGGCATCCTGAGTGTTCTGGGGACCTCTGCTCGGGACCTCTGAAGACCTCCAGAGAGCCTGCCGCACATGAGGGGGAGGGAGGAGGAGGGAGGAGGAGGAATGGGACGAGGAGGAGGAGGAGCGGGGCCGCCACTGGGGCATTCGGTGGAGCTCCCTATGGTGCCTCGAAGCGTTGTACTGAGTGGGGGAGACGCATGCGAACACCGCCACTGGGGCCTTCGGTAGAGCTCCCTATGGGGCCACGAAGCGCTGTGCTTGGCGGGGGGGGGGGGGGGGGGGGGGACGCATGCGGACATCCTCACTGGGGCTTTCGGTGGAGCTCCCCCTGGGGGCACGAAGCGCTGTACTGCGCAGGGGAGACGCATGCGAACACCGCTACGGTGGCTTTCGGTGGAGGTCCCTTTGGAGCAACTAAGCGATGTACTGGGCGGGGGGAACACATGCGAACACCGCCACTGGGGCCTTCGGTGGTGCGCCCTGTGGGGCCACGAAGCGCTGTGCTTGGCGGGGGAGGGAGACGCATGCGGACATCCTCACTGGGGCGTTCGGTGGAGCTCCCTCTGGGGCAACGAAGCGCTGTACTGCGTGGGGGAGACGCATGCGGACACCGCCACTGGGGTTTTCGGTGGAATTCCCTCTGGTGTTACGGAGCGCTGCACTGGGTGGTGGAGACTCATGCGAACACCGCCACTGGGCCTTCGGTGGGGCTCCCCTATGCGGCCACGAAGCGCTGGCCTCGAGGGCCGTTTTTGGGCCGCCTTGGCAGTCGTTTGGGGCCCTTTTGTGCCGATCTTGGTGGCACCTTGGCCCGTCTTGGGTCGTCGGGAAGCCGAAGAAGAGGAAACGCGTCTTCCACACGCAGAAGGGTCGGTGGATTCCTCGTATTTCTCCTCATCCCTGCTCCTACTCCTTATCCTTCCTCCTCCCTCCTTTCTGCTTCGTCGTCGTCTTTCGCCTTCGTCTCCTGAATAGTAACTATGCTCGCAACCGCCAGTTTCGGGCTAGGGCGAGAATACCATAGCTTTTGCATCAGCATCAGCACCATGATTCCGCCTTCCCCCCTCCCACCCTTTGACTGGCGCCCGCGGCCCCGCCAGTGCCCGTCTCGTCGGACAACTTGTTCTCCTCCGTCCTCGTGCTGATAGGCGGCGCCCCGTGGTGATACATGTAGGAGTAAGGATGAGGAGCAGCGACAGGAGTGGGGAGGATCGGGAAAGCGAGGAGGAGCTGGAGAGAGGATGAGCAGCCGCAGAAGCAGTAGGAGCGACGAGGACTGGAAGAGCGGTCGAAGGGGGATATCTGATGAGGATAAGGAGAGGAGTGTGTTTCACAACGTTGGTTCTCAAGAAGTGAGGGTTTCTCCCACGGTATCCTCAGAACCATGAGATGTTGGAGATCGGGCGTCGGACATCCAACCTGGTGGTGGCGGGGCGTTTTGACTGATACATCAACACATCCTCACACATCGTGGTGTTGGAGGAGTGGAGTGCTCGACGCTGATTTGGAAAAGTGAAGTCCTAGACGTTGGAATGTTAGAGACCGGAGGTCGGATATCCAACATGGTGTGGCCGGGCGTTTCGCTGCAGACATCTTCATAAGACAGTCGATGTTCAGTGAGCTCCCGAATTCGACGTGCTTTCAAGAGCTTGGCTCTCGTCTGAGACATACTGACACATTCAGGCGCCACCAGAGGAGTCTGACAACATATTGTTTGATTTAATTGTTTTTCACCGGGCCCGTTGGAGCTCTCAAGGTTTGTTGCTTGCTTGCGAACCTGTCTGTTTTGGATGCCGCCGTGCGAGACACGCGCCCGTCGCGTGGCCTTGCGGTCACGCCCGCCTTCCCCTGCTTCAGGAGAGGCGCAGGTGGCTGTGGATGTCCCTTGATCCTCCGCAATCCGCCCCCCTCCTCCGTAGCCATTTTGGCTCAAGGGCACGACTCCCCAGGCGGCCCTCACCAGAGCCGCGACCTCCGCGCAAACCGCCGATGCCGTGGCAAGCTCTTCTCTTTGCCATTTTGTAAACAGATACGACTTCCACGGCTTGTCACGATTTGTGCACAGTTCGTAACAGTGCCAATTCGTAGCATGATCGTTGCGCGTTGCCGCTCTTGGTTGGCTTATCGTTGCGCCGTGGGGTGGACGCCCTTGGTTCCAGGTTTACGGGCTCTGCGTTGTCCTTCTTCCCTTTTTGTTTGGCGCTCTCTGCGCTGCACATTGCTATGACAAGCTCAGGGAGTTCAGGATTGTTTCCCGTGCAAGACCGTCAATCACGACCTCAAGTGTTCCACACCCACTCGTCCAAACATTACACCCGAGAAGAACCCAATCAGTGTATGGTTTGAAAAGTAGTGATATGGATATTGACATCGATTATGGGATCGATAGAGGAATCGATAGTGAGGACCATTGTATAGACGATCGTGAGACCGATCGCGAAGTCGATCCAATGAGATCGATAATGAGATCGATCGTGAGATCGCTCGTGCGATCTATAGTGAGATCGAGTGTAGGACAGATAGTGAGATCAATTGTGAGATCGATGGTGAGATCGATAGAGAAGTGTGTAATGAGATCGATGATGGGACCGATCGAGAAGAAATCGACCAGGAAAACGTGAACCCAGGAACCTCGCCGCCCACCGAAATCGGCCCGGAACCCGGAACCGGGAACCCGGGAACCCGGAGCCGGGAACCCGGGAACCCGGCCGCCCACCGAAATCGGCCCGGAATTGTCGCCAAATCTTTAAATTGCACAAGAGGAATGGTTTGAAATTTAGTGGCATGGATATTGACATCGATTGTGAGATCGATAGATTGATAGTAAAGGCGATTGTACAGTCGATCGTGAGACCGATCGTGAAGTCGATCCAATGAGATCGATAATGAGATCGATAGTGAGATTGCTCGTGCGATCTATAGTAAGATCGATTGTGGGACAGATACAATTCTGAGATCGATGGTGAGATCGATAGAGAAGTGTGCAACGAGATCGATGATGGGACCGATCGAGAAGAAATCGACCAGGAAAACGTGAATCGGGAACCCCGCCGCCCACCGAAATCGGGCCGGAACCCGGAACCAGGGAACCTGAACCCAGAGCCGGGAACCCGGGAACCCGGCCGCCCACTGAAATCAGCGTAGCTCTTTTTCGCCAAATTTTTCAATATCCGCTAGGACCCCGTCAGTGCAAGCGCCGATTGGGGAATATCCGGTAGGACGCCTTCGGTGCAAGCACTGATTGGGGAGTCTCGCTGGCGACCAGTGCGCGACTGCACCAGCAATCTCGCCGGTGCGATGCGCCCGCTCCGCTGGTAAGCACGCGTTCCTGTGCTGTCCCCTGAGTGGCGTTAGTGCCCTGGTCCGTGAGCGTAGGGAGCGCGGTGGGGCCTTCGGGCTGGCGCCGTGCTTGAGCGTCGTTCTCTGTGTGGGCAGAAATTGTCGGCTCTGCCCCTGGGGCGGACATGCGGGCAGCTGTCATATCCTGCGCCCCCCGCTCTCTCGTTCTAGCATAGTGTCGGCCATCGATGCGGGATTACACCAGCAACCTCGCCGGTGCGATGCGCCTGTTCGGATGGTGGGCACGCCGCCTGTACTGCCACAAGGTGGGCGCTGCCCTGGACCGCTTGCGTCGGGATAGCCCGCTCGAGAAGCGGTGGATTTCTCGTCCCCAGTTCTTGAGGTCCCCTGGTCTTGACCATCCGACTCTTCGCGATTGGCTGGGTCGCTCCTCCCCCTCCTCCGGAGCCATTTTGGCTCAAGGTTTTGAGGTTCTCCCTGAACCAAGTGGATAATTGCCGCTCGTCCGCGGCTTGCTTCGTCCTTCGATCAGTTCGCCTTGGCCCGAACCATGCCCTGATCCGCCGCAGGGTTCGGCACCCTTCTTTCGGCCAGTTCGCCCTGGCTTGTCGTTCCTGCCAGCGGATTGGTGGGAAGAAACAGCAGCAGCACTTGGTGTGCAAGTCGTGTCGCTATCGTGTGAATAGCGACTGGTGGTACGGTTGCTCGGCTGCGCTGGTGGTCAATGCTTCTCCACCGTCGACCGCCGGGGAAGCGGGCGCTTGGCCCACCAGCCATTGTCAATTACGGAACGAATGGAAAGCTCCACAGAATGGATGTCACTCCGCCGCGGTCGATGGGGGCGTCGGCCAAGACGCCGATGCTGTCGGGTTGCGAGCGGCAGCCATGGGCGCGATCGAGCCGGGGGTCTGGCCCAGGAAGTGGAAGTGGACAAGAGTCTAAATCGGAGCTGGTCGCGCCCAACTCGGTGGGGCAGTTGCGCGCGATGCTCGGCGACATCGAGGAGGTCGCTGCGATGGAGGGCGAGCTTCGCGAGGTCGGGGCTTCTCAGTCAAGCGCCCGCTCGCCCGCGGTTGTTCGAAGAGGACGTCGCCGCCAAAGGTTCGGCGCGCAGGCGCGCCCGGGCACGGTTGGATACCTGCTCGCTTCAAGCGCTTGGCGCCGAGGATGGGTTTCGCGAGATGCGGGCCAAGGAAAAGAGCGCCATCCTTTTCGGCTGCGGGGGCCAAGAATGAACGAGAGGCTGCTTGTGCAAAGCTGCTGTCGCGGGCTTCACTGGCGGCGGCGGGGGCCCACTTTTGCCGCTGCTGCGGGGTCGGCATTCAACCTTTCGTCGCTCTTGGGCGGCAAGGGCGCAGGCCTCGCCATTGTCGAAGGCCTGCCGGTCGACATCGGCGGGCTCGCGCTCGACGAAGCAGGGCCGCGGGGGCGGGGGCGGGCCAATGAAGCATTGGCTGGCGGCGCGCAGGCTGAAGTTGCCTCGGCCCTCGGCCCCCCGTCCAAGAACCTCGCCGCGCTTTGAGGGGGGGCCCAGAGCTCTCTGCGCGCCCCCAGGCAAGCCGCAGGAGGGGTCCGTCTGGGGAACCGTCGCCCGCGGGGGGCTCCAAGGGCTCCACGGGATCTGGGAGGCCCGAGGTTGCCATGGATGGCGCTGACACCTCCGTTCCCATGGGCGCCGGCGGCCTGGGGGCTGATTCCGCCGACGCGGCGAGCAGTCACAAGGCTGCCGCTCGCGCAGAGACCAAAGCCCCCTGGGGGGCCGAGCAATCGGCAGAGCGCGTTTAGCTGTTTATTTTTTGTCTGGCAGCTGGGCCTCATTTGTTCAGGCGAGAGCTTCCCGCAGTGCCAAACATGGCGTCGCTCGCAGACTGAGGGGCGCCAGTTTGGGGGGCTCTTCGCCTCGGCAGCCGGCTGCCTGGGTGGCCGGAGGCCAGAGCAGCCGCGGCGCTGACATTGCGGGCGGGCCCTGGTCTCTTTCTGGGGGGGGGGCTCGAGGGGGTCGCGCGGCCCAAAGCTCACGCCCGCTTCAGTTTTCTAGCGCCCGGCATTGGCCAGCCAGCCGAGCCTCTTTTTGCGGGGCCAACGCCAGACCCCAGCATGGCGATTCTGTCACCTGCCGAGGAGTCGCAGCTTGGCGGTGAGCGTTTCCGCCTCTCTAGGGGAAGCCCCAGTCGTGACTTCATTCCAGTGCCCGTTTTTTCCAGTGGCGCCGGGGCCAGGCGCTGGTAATATCCGAGATTCAGTCTCAACAACCCCAGCTCTCCCGTCAGACGGCGCCAGGAATCCCGCCGGCCAGTCTGCGATTTCGTCGAAGCAGCGACTCCTCATTGCGAGCGAAGCGAGGGGCGCGCGGGCCATGGGCGCCCCCGCCTTTCGGGAAGCGCCAGCCGGGATTTCGACGGAGGGCCCGACTTTTTGGGGGGGCGCCAGGGGCAGGCGCGCGCAAGATTCAGCGCGTGGTCTCAGCGGGCCCAGCCCCCCCGTCAGGTTGCGCGAGGGTTCCCGCCGACCGGTTTTTGAGTCGTTTCAGGCGGTGCTCTTGCTTGGGGGGCGCCTTTTCTCGCGCGGCGATTTTCGCGCCAAATGCGATGTCTCCGCCGCGGGTTCGGCGGCCATCGGCGCCGGCGGCGCCCGCGCAGAATCTGGCGCTTCGCGCCGGGACCTCGGCGGCCTCGTCGAATCCAGCGTCGCGGAGATGGAACGCGACAATTTCAGCGCGGGCGGTCATTGGGGGCGCGAGCCGCTAGGGGCACCCCATTCGACGGATGCGTTGCAGCCCTCTCGTGGCATTGTTATTATGGGAACGTTGTGGTCATAGGTTTGTACCTCCACCCAGGCATTGGAA